ACCATCAGCAGCATCATCGTCATCATCATCACGGTCATTACTACGTCGTCGCAGTCTTCCTCAGTTCATCTCAGTACCGCATGCATGGCTTCGAGACTTGTGGCAGCAGTAGCACCATAATGAACTATGTTACCTTTGTGTTTGACTGACCACCTCACTCCAAATTCTCTCCGAACACGAGATCTCACACCGCAGCACCGAAACCAGCGTCCTCTGTATGTCGAACAACTCGCATCGCTCGCGCCACCTTTCCCAGCCGCAAGAGGCGCATGAAGACCGTATCCTGGGCACTCGGATTGAATATCTTAAGTGGGGTCATCCTGGCATGGAGGGCTTTGTGGCCAAAGGTTCGCGCGTTAAGAAAGTCGTGCCCACATTCCTAAAGTTTAGGACCTAAACTTCAACAGAACGACCCGAAACCTCATCCTCATCCAAACGGACGTTATGCAACTGTTTTGTGACGTTCTGGCTTTGGCACAGACACTTGTCCATGAACGCGCTTGCAGTCGAAGCACAACTGGTATCAGGTCTTGAAACAGGATCTCTGTGACGCTGCAGAGAACGACCAGAAGGTCCAGCCAGTTGAATGTTAGCTTGAAGAATCGCAGTCGGAGGAAGCTGAGGCGAAGCACTATGTCAACCTGAGGATCAGAAAAGTGGAGCTAGGTGATATCTGGACCAATGAATTGCAAACACCGTTGCGAGTGTTAGCCCGTCACCTCGCCTCGGACTTCAAAGTCCCCAGCAACGGGCTCGACAGTCCGTCTTAATTTGCTGCTCAGCAGCAACAAAAGCAATCGTGAAGCCCAGGTTGATGGCATAGAAAACGCTTTCCGCATGTGGCCAGGCCTGGACGAAATTGAAGTAACTGAAGAAGATCTGCATGCAGCGCTCACAAACTTGGGCTTGCGAGTGCCCCCGGAAGTCTTCGATGCTTTAGGAAGCTTGCCATTGAAATTGCTGCCTCGTCAGGGCTCCCCTCCATTCTCCGGTAGTCTAGGTCGTGGCCAACCACGTAGCCTGGCAGTCGGCAAAGCACGTTAAAGTTCTCGCTGGAGAGGGCATGGAGAGTCTCACAGCAGACGACACTTTCAACAAGGCCTTGATACTCGAATTCGATGGCCATGATCACGGAATTCACGATGATGAGCATGCCTATCGTGATTTCCTCAGAGGAGTCCGCGGTTTCGGGCCCCTCGGGCACTGCTTGTAGCCAAGATGGGCCGAGGCACGTAGAAATCGCTTTCAAGGCGGCTCGCGCAGTCGTGCTTCTGCTTCTGTACGGAGGCCTCTGCACAGAATGGACCAAGGAGACTCCCTGAATCTGCCTGAGCCTCCGCGATGTCTTTGCTCCCCGCCTCGACTTCCGCATCGATCTTCGCGATCATCTGCGTGGTGGCGGCGCTGCCCATGACAACTGTGCACTGCTCATCCGCTCCGCTCTTGCCTGGAGGTTCCTGCAGAGAAGAGGCGATCGGCCCTGCTCTATCGGAATCCCGTAGTTCACGCGTGTCCGTCCTCTGCACGTGCTGGCAGACCCGAGGAAGGTGGATTTCGTGATCCTCCAGAAAACCAACAAGGGCGCAAACGGAGACTCTGCCAGACGTCTGCCTGCTGAAACACAAGCCCCGATAATTCAGCCTGAGAGTTTGTTCACACACTCGAAATGCTCAACGTCGCTTCCTTGTTCCCTTGCAGTCCCTGAATGCACCACGGAAGGGGCCCTGGCCTTCCGCGGACCGAGACTCTGGAGCCTTCGGGGCGTGGTTTCGCACGTACACGCACGCACCAATCAGTGAAAGTTCAGGGTCACGGGTCAGATTCGGGGGAGCTGGTCGAGCTTGGCGGGGTCCATGGCCACAGGGCGTGGGCATCCCGCAGTCCGGACTAGATCTGGTACAGGCATGCATCATCTTGCATCCTAACCGCGGAACGACGGTGGAACAAGGCTTGTATCCCCTCGAGCCTCCTGTCCAACACGAAACTTGGGGTCGGCGACGGCTGACGTGTCCTCAGTACTGGGGACTACCTCTGAAATTGCAAGATGAACACAAGCTGTCCTGACATGCAAAACATGAGCTGTCTTCAATTACAGCATCTATGTTAAACCACAGAGCCCGAGAAGCAAAGGTCGGGTTGATGCTCCCCTCACGAATGCCAATTTTCTTGGTGTCGGTGCTGCCAGTGCCAAGTACTTTGGCCATCTCAGATCTTAACAATCTGTTCTCGTCACTCAGGAGGACCATTTCGTGTATATACCTCAAAGTAGCAAGCAAAGGCTGGGACATTGGCGCAATTTCATGCCACCTAAAGTACTTACCGTCTGTGGTGTCTCCGCCCAGGAACTCATCCTCCAGTCGCCCTATCAGAGCTCGAAAATCAGCGAAGTCTTCGTCACTTGTGAAGGTCTGCTGAAGGCTGTGGCCTGAGTCGGCACAGTTCAATGATCTTTGAGGCTCTCGGGGTCGGCAACGGACAAGCGCAAACAAGGGCGAGGGGTAGGCGAAGCCCTGGCGCGGCCAATCGGAGGTCGGGAAAGCGGGTGGCCACTGGCAGGCATGCAGAAGTTGCCACCGTCAACTTCGCCGGCTCTTTTCTCACTCTGCTCGCATATTCCCGGAGCTCTGAAACCGAAGCGACAACACTCTGAAGCAATCGAGTTGCCGATTTCCGCACTGCTGAGCTCCGTCAAAGGCACAGCAAAGCCTGCAGCAGCACAGGGCACTTTTGATGTGGGTAGACAGAGTTGTAGAACGAGGCTCACCAGCATCGTCGGAGCGAGGAGTTGACTTCAAACCAGAAGGTTGTAGGAAGATCGTCATGTCTACCAAAGGAATCACGAGCCCTTCCAACCCAATCGAAACACAAGACATTCATCAGGGTACTTCGAGGCCAAACACATCCGAACACGGAGCCTTGGCGTGTTGCCGCATCGGCGCATTCTTCCCCTTCGTGCTTGAACAGATTGCGGCAATCTCGTGAGGTGTTGTCAGGTCTCAGACTTCAGCTTTCGGACATGTTCGAACTCTGGGAGGTGGGCGGATAGGATTCACTTGTCTTCTGCAACATGACACCATTTGCCTTCTGGTCTTTCGCCAAGTATGACCGACAGAATGCCCGCTTTGGACCCCAGAGCTGTAAGCTTGGATGCACGATACTGGACCCTACCAGGCGCAAAGCGAAGACACCTAAGCAACCCAAGCTCAAGCATACAGTGGGGCGTTCAGAAGTTCAGAGAAAAAAAACCTAGAGTAGCCTTGTCCCAGAGTCCTCAAGATAAACTCCTCTCAGCCCGGCGGCCCAGTCTGAGGATCGTAGGGCTGGTGGTCGGGCTTCCGATGGAGCCGCGGACGCCCATGGACGGAGCCATGCTCCGGAGGTTTAGGAAAAAGGGACTGCTGCAGCGGAAACCAAAGATCCAGATGACCAACCGAAGGCCCTGAGGCTCTACTAAAGGCTTAGGGTTACGGAGTCTACGGAGTTTGCGGTTTAAGGGCCCCAACCAGAGCACTGCTGGATGACCTTGTAACCGGCCTGATCAATCTTCAGGACCGGTCATGCAGTGTTGTAAAATGCCGTAGCTGCGAAGCCACTAAGAGAAGCTGCACATCGCAATCAGTCGGCAGTTTCAAGACAGATTCGTGCATGGCCGTTGCGAAGCCTTGCTTGAGATACTCCTCTGATGCCATGCATGCATTTCGCAACATCCCCCCAGGCCGTCGTCCAGCTTGAAGCTAATGATGCATCGCCGTATGTCCTCTGGCGTGACACCGAGAGAGCCCTGAGTCTCATGCGAAAGCACCGGACGAACGCACAAATCCCCAAAGTCGAATTCATGCTTATTCCGCCGAGGACTTTCATCAAGCAGCGTTTCATAGCCTAGGAGCCAACTCGAGGGCCAGAGAGGTTTCGAGGCACTGCAAATTTCAGTTGTCTAGCTACTTCTTTGCAAACCAGCAGCTGCAGGACTTCTGTAGTGTGATCGTCAAGCAGATTGCCAAACTCGTACAGATGGCTGGCACATTGATCCAAAGACAAACCCCTGCAATGGAACTCGAGGCCCGACTGAAATAGCTCCCTGCCGACAGAAGATTCTCGTGTCCGTGATGCCAGAGCTGCCCTCCCGCAACCCGTGGCCCTAAACCCTAAAGCCATAAACCCTAAACCCCATAACCCTAAACCCCTTAACCCTAAAACCCTTAACCCTAAAACCCTAAACCTTAAACCCATCCTCCTCCATCTCACTGTCCGCCTTGCCAACGGCTCGCCAGCTCTCACTCTCTTCGTTTCTTTCTGCGGACAGAGCCAGGAAGTTCTCGCAAGCCGCGCCCTCCCTTTCGGCGCAGTGGATGGGTTGTGAATTTGCAAACCGCTCAGACCTGAACGCCTTTTTGTCTTGCCTGTTTGTCTTGGTTCACTTGGCTCGAGCCTGGGTTACCTGCGACACCTTTGGGCCACGTTTACTGATATTCAGCTGTGTGGTCAACCGACCTGGGTGTTCTCTTCCTGTGCTTTCTTCTTTTCACTGAGCGTGTCTGGGACTCAAGGTTACCTGAAGCCTCCACAGGCCTCTTTCAGCGAGCGAAACTTCGAAGTGTGGTTGCTCATGGGCCCCTGGCTATGTCGCTTTAGCGCTTGGCCCTCTGTTTTCCTGTTTGTCTGCCTGTCTCCAGGTTGGTGTTGTGGGTCTGATGTTGAATTACTTTCCTGGCATGTTCCTGGCGCATCTTGGCGCGAGAAGGGTGGACGGGGACTGTCTCCTGCAGATGCTGTTCCATTCCACCACGGGCTCTCACATTGATGCGGCTAGAATCCGCTATGTGGGGGTGAGTATCTGGGAAAAGTGCCGGTACGTTTGCAACGACCGGGTAACATCTGCTAGAGGTATCGCGCGACCCCCCTTGCCCCCTTGCCCAACATTCGTGTTCGGGGAAGCAGGCTTAGCAAGATGCAAGATTGCTCGATGAAAAGGAACGTGAGGGGCGTCCCGCTGCACGACTTGAGACAAACATTGGCATTGCATCTCACACCCTACCGGCGCCGGAAAAGCATGCAACATCCAAAAGGGTTTCGCCTTTCACGGCACTGGACTCTCTCTTCCTCGCTCCCTTTTTCTCATTGTCTTTTCTTGCATTCATTGTTAGCTACCGCGTGCACTAGGCTTGCGGGCTGAATTCCTCCTTCTCCCTACTTCCCTGTCCCTCTTCACATGCGCCGAACAGGGCAGCCAGTCAGCAAGTATGCTCAAGAGCGTCCACCCTAACAGAAACACAGTGTCGTCTCGAGAGAGCAGCCTAAACTCTAAACAACCCTAAACCCTTGCCCACTGAGGATTGCACCCAAATGGGTGGTCGCCCGGTCAGCAGCTGGTACACCAGGCACCTTCGTCGGTCAGAAAAACTATAGTGCGTAGCATCGCCGTTGCTCTGACAGGCTTATACATGAACTACGCATACGGATCGAACATGACGAGGCAAGTCTTAGCAATAACATATGCGAAACGACGATGCCTAGGCTTTTGGCCTGATAAGTAGAGGGACTTCACCTCGTGAGTGACTGGACGTTCCATAATCCCGAATTCTCGTCATTTGCCGATATGTTCCCGGACATTCCGTTATCGCTTGCCGCAGTATAGTCAAACCGCTTCCAAGCATATTTGGCCTGTTTCGCTCAATCCATCATGTCATATCGCCGTGCATTGCGATGTGCATTCTGCGTGATGACACACTTGTTGTGCTCGACAACAAACAATTGTGAGAGCCGTTTGCAATGAACGGGACTGGACAGTGAACTACGATTCAGTAACCATCTTCACATTCGATAGGCATTGCTGGTTTTCTACACACTCTTCAGACTCTTGTAATTTAAGAAGCGCATGATGTGCATTCAGTGGTGGGATTGCACCTGCACGGGTTCGTACGTCTGTGCAGACTTGGCTTTGCAAGGATAGGCTGGGCTAGGAGCAAAGTTGTGGGAATACGATGGAGAACGACAGCTGTGGTGGAGAGGTAATCTTTCGGGGCGACGAAAGTGCCGGGCGAACTTCCGAGGTTTCTTGGCTTGTGCTTTAATTTCGGTGCACTTCGCGTGTGCGGCAAATAAATTTACGAGGGACTAAGCATCCATTTCCACCTTATTTTTCTGATGACGATGATGATGATGTCACCATCATCATCATGATGGTGATGATGATGATGATGCATGGTGAACATGACTAGCTGAAGCCCTGAAACCAAAATCTCGGACCCCCAATCAAGCAAAGGACTTAGCCGTGCCTTCCGACGTTCACAAGGATACAAGTGAAAGGTGTCACAACGATCGAGACTGGTGTTGTAGTCAGTGATTGTTGAAGCGACGCACTTGGGGGGAGTTGCAGGATCACTAGCCGGCTGTGCTGCAAATACATGCAAACTTGCCTGTGCAAAGCCATACGGTCGCTCTCACCCCACGCAGCAGTACTCAAGCGAAGACTTCGATACATAATATATACATATCTACATACATATACCTGTTTAAAAACATTTTCATGTACATATATCGATACATATACATTTATGTAAATCCAGATTCTATCGATTTATGTTTGTACGTATGTACTTATTTGTGGACATATTTACGTCTGTACATGTATACCTACATACGATGTGCTGTTTCTATACATACATGTACATACACACGCAGACACACACACACACACACACAAACACAAACACACACACACACACACACCCGCGCGCGCGCACAGGCAAACACATTCAGAACAGCCGATCTTCGCGCATGAGGAGTGAAGACCTGCGTGAGGACTCGTATGTGGAGCTATCAGTGTTGCACTTCTCTATTTCTAGGCTCAACTCTGCTCGCCCCAGCCGAACTCCAAAGCCCGTGACCTTAGTCCTTGCAACCTCACAGGGACAAAACATGCCTAAGTTCTGCTTGAGAGTGTGGAGTTCCGAAACTCATGGGCAGTTTTCTAAACTAGGGTCCCCTTTTAGGTCCCCAATATAGTACGGCACCCTTATAAACAAAAGGGCCCTAAAAGGGACCCTAATTTAGAGAAACCCTAAACCCTAACTACCCTCATCTTCCCAGGAGCACCCAAGCGCCCAAGCGTCCGAGGCGAGGGAGGGCCTGGCTCCACGAACCACCTGGCGGGCCACTGGCGAGCCTTGTTCGAATTACACTACAGTATAACCCAACACCCTATTCTTATGTTAAGGCCCCTATATTACCCATCAGTGAGGTCTTGAGGTGTTAGGACCTTCTAGGAGTCTGGGACTTGTGTGTTTTCTCTCGGTAGTTCTTTTTGTTGCTCTTGTTTGTGGTTCTTTGCTTTTGTTCTGTGGTTGTTTCATGTATGTCCTCTAGTTACGCATTGAACTAGTTGTGTTGTGTGTTGTTGTGTTTCTTCGTGAGTTGTTCTCTTGGCGTGTTTTGTCTTGTGCGTTCTTCTCTTTGTGTTTATGTGTGTTTTGTCCTGTGATGTCCTGTGTGTTGATATTCTTTAGTCGTTGTCGTTGTTGCTGTTGGTGTTGGTGTGGCTCTTGCTGGTGCTGTTGTTGTTGTTGATGTTGTTGCTGCTGTGTTTCTTTTTTGTCGTTCGTATTGTTTGTTCCGTTGTTAATTGCCTTGTGTTCTTCTTTTGTTGTGATTTGTCATGTTGGTATGGGTTCTTCTGGCCGTTAATTCTAATTATGCATTCGTTGTTATAATGCATTGCCCGTTTACAGCAGTTCTCCCTGTTTTTGTTCACACACACACACACACACACCCGGACATATTTATATATATATATATATTATATATATAATATGATCCATTTGCCTATGTTATTATGTGGCTTTTTGTTCTTATTCTGCTTTGTTTTGATGTTCCTCTTGCATCTGTTGCGTTGATTATCTGCCTGGCTATTCTTGTGGTGTTTATCATGTCGTTTCTTCCGTGCCATCTTGTTGCCTCTGTCTTTGTAGTGTCTCTTGTGGTTTTTGAGCTTCTTATTTGGTGATTGTCTTTGATGTGTCTTATTTTGATGATGTTAGTGCAATTGTTACTTACTGTACTGTATTATTGTCTTTGTTATTATTCTTATTAGTAGTCTTCCTCTTCTTCTTCTGCTGCTCCCTTGTTGTTCATAAATGTGTATGCTTATTCTGATTGGTTTGTTATTTTGTTGCTGTTAATGTGTTTCTCTGTTTAATGATCTTCTTTTTGTAGTTTGTTGTGGTGTGTTGTGGTTACTGTTTTCTTGCTGTTCTCCGTTAACGTGTGTTATCTGTTGCTGTTGCTTTTTCCTTTATTTGGGGGTTGGGACAAGGGCTGCGGTTCTGGGTTTGGGGTATACGGTATAGGGTATAGGTTTGGGATTTAGGGTTTCAGCACCCTTCACTCGCCAAGACATGGCACAATGGTCTCTTTTGGGAAGAAGCATGAAGAAAACACAATCTGCACAAATGCTGTGCTTCGCGAGTGCTCTGAGCGCCAAGTTCCACAACTTTTCAAGAGACAACTCAGCCACAGAATTACGTCCTGAATCGGCGATCAGGTTCCTCCTCCCCTCAGTCTTCCAACTCCATGTGCTCCTCCTCCTCCTCCTCTTCCTCTTCCTCCTCAACTTCTCCGTCTGAGTCTGATTCGGGGCCTCCCAGTGCGTTGCCAAGGCCGCTGATGCCAAAGCCACCCATGACCGAAGCGAAAAGGTTCTGCTGCATCTCGTAGAGCTCGTTTTCCACATCCGGCATGGCGAAGGCACCTGGCCCCATGAAGCCACCGTAGCTGCTGGGGCCTCTGCCCTTTTGCGCCTCCCGGGCCTTCTCCTCCAGGGACGTCCGAAAACGAACCGTCACACCCTGAGCTCTCCCCACGAAGCTCTCCAGGCTGCAACTGAAGGGGTCATCTGCACCGAGTCTAGGCATCTTGTCTTGCTGCCTTTGCAGCTGGTCTTGGATGTCTTGGAAGGAGCCTGGGAGGCTGAAGCCCAGGTCAGTGTAGAAGCGCGCTTCCACCCAAGTCTCAGTCTCGAAGGCGGCAGCGAAATCCTTCCCGTACAAGCTTTGCAGCTCCTTCCACACTGGGGTCGTCTCCTTCAACAGGCGTTCCAGGCGCTTCTCCCGGATTCGGTGGAACTCCTCCTTGCGTTCGAGCTGCAAAGGCTTCAGCTCTGCCCATGCGCGGAGGAACAGGGCGCTCTCGCAGTTCCTGTCCCGAAAGCTTCTGGGCACCAGATCGAAGTAAGACTCGATGGCGGAGCCACAGCTACGCCAGTCTCCCCGCCCACATTCACAGACAGCGAGGAGATGAAGCAACTCAGCCAGGTACCACTTGGGGAAGGGAACGATGTCCAGCTCCTGGGTGCCCACATACGGGTTCTTAAAGTCCGTCCTCATGGGGCTCTTCAGGCGGTTGATGTGGTCTGGGAAATACTTGGCCGCCTTGGGGTGCACCGTGACGTGGAAGATCAGCCGGTGCAAGGACTCGCGAGCTGCATCGAATTGAAAGTCATCCAGCTCCAAGTACGCAAGGACCCACCGCATCAGCAAAATGAGCTGCTGATGGACCTCCTCCTGGTCTGGATGCTCCTCCAAGTCAACGCCCAGCTCCTCAGCAATCTGCTCGGCTGAGAATGCCCTTGTGGTGGAATTTGTTAGCTCCAGCAGCGACTGCCGTCGCTTCCGCTCGTTCTCAGTTTGTAGGTAGGCACCTTCGATCATGGAGCGGAGCTTCTCCACGTTGAACTCTGTCATCTTCCCTCCGGTATATGGGTTCAGAGGGTCTTGGCTGCGCTGGATCATGGCCATGAGGTTCAGCATCTTTCCTGGAAGCTTGCGGCATCGCTGGCGCAGCTCCGGCATATCCAGCAGGAAGAGAAGGGGGAAGCTCGCGAAGTGTTCGCGGATGACGAACCATGCTTCTTCGACATCGGAAGCATCCAGAGCCTCGAAAAGGCCAGCGCGCCGCTCCTTCAGGTGGTCCAGCAAGTTTTTGTGGCCGGAGCAAGCGACTGAACAGTTTTCTCTCAAACTCCGCAGCACCTGCCTGAGTTCTGCTGTCGCGGCCCGGCTTCGCGTAGCTTTCTCGATGGTGTCCAGGTGTGCGCCGGCCTCCTTGAAGTGCCCGGCTCTGGTGCAGGCACTTGCGAGCCGATGCATGGCCTTGCTCCAAGCCGCGAGGTTCTTGCTTTGACCTCCCAGCATCTCCAGCGCCTTCTCTGCATCTTTCATAGCGGGAAGTGTGCGGCCCAGTTTCAGGAAACACAGGCTGCGATTGTTGCACAGAGAAACTGACAAATCTAAACTTGCCGAGGCCTCTGTCGCACCATCAGCAATAATCTTTCCCGATAACAGGCCAAGCAATGCCATCGCCCTGGAGTACGAGGCAAGGGCTTTTTCATAGCTGCAGGCTTTGAAGAAGCTGTTCCCGCGGTCTTTCTCTGCTACGGCAGCCATCTGGAAAACTAGATCTCGCGCAGGTTCTTTCCCTGACATGGAAGCTATTTTGATGAGACTTGCGACGGAGTGTGTCCCTGGGATGGGCAGACCGACCGAATAAGAATTCAAAACTGCCTGCAGCTCCTGCCAGTACCCACAGTGGCCTGCTTCCACGAGCGTCACGTCTTCAAGAGACAGAGCGTTTGGTGGAATTGAGGCCTGCATGGAGAAAAAGCCGTGCTCGTGGAGGAGCAGGTGCCGCGCACACTCGAAATCCAGACGCATCACTGACGTACAGGTTTTGGGGCAGAGGAACCTCAACAGCCCATGGGACAGAAACTGCTGAAAGTCCGCCATGCCGCTGAAAAAAGGATTACGTGCTGCGGTCTGCCAAGAGCCGGCCCATCACCAACCGAACCATACACTCATGCCGCTGCGCAAGCAATAAACTGTAAAGGATCCCCCCTTCACTGACTTTACAGGATGGAAGCAGCTCTTTGGGAACATCGCGAAAGCACCCTGCAAAGCTCTGATGCCTGAGCCGAAATTTGCACACTAGAACAGACACAAAGTCGTCAACTTATCGGCTTCCAACTTTTCTGCAGGATGGATAGTCATCCGGCGGATCTTTCAGTGTCATCAAAATATACTGTATCAGAACTCAGGAAGCCTCCATCCTTTCTTGCCGACGGTGCTTCAGACACGTTGCAGAGCCCGGCACTTGGAAGGGAGCTTTGGCTGAGACGGCCAATTTCACAACAGACGGAAGCATCAGCAGATGGCACCACTACGTCCCAGTGGACTAAGACGAGTTGCCTGCCTCAGGGGGCAGGTAGAGCATCGTGCCCTCAACACGGTCGTCTTCTGCAACGAGCTCCTCTTCTTCACACCTGCGCAAAGACACAAACGTCAAAGAGCCGACGGGTTCTTGGAAGGCATGCTCTCGGTTGTTTGTCGATTCTGCGTCATCCACATAACATGCAACCTGACCTTTGATATCAAGCTGGAAGCATCGCTAAGGCGTGTGCTCTGCTGGCGTCGCTTCTGGGACATCCTGCCACGGTGTCTAATGGCACGGGCCGGGGTTGAGGGTTTAGGGGGTTAGGGTTTTGGAGGTTACTTTGTAGTGTAGGGGACCCTGAACCCTCAACCAAGCAAAAAAGCCCAGTGCCGAACACCCCAAACTCTAAATTCTCAAGGCCGGTGCTCGAAAGTCCCTCGCGGGACAGCTAGACTCTGTTATGTGATTATGTGGCCTGTGCTTGCCAGTCGCCATCGCGAAGCCGCTTCAACAGAGCCTGTCGGCAGCGCACCGCCGCCTGGCACGCACACACCCTCGCCCTGCTGTCAAAAACAGCTCCCAAATCCCTGTGGCTTTCAAATCTTTTCCTTGGGCGAGGCGCTCCGGTAAGTCAAGCTTCTGGCGCCGAGGGCAAGGCCCCGATGATAAAGGAGCCCAGGCGCGTCGTGGAGGGCGCGCGCGTCTTTGCTGAGTTGCCACAACTCCACGGCTCACTTGGTTCACATTGGCGGCGTTTGCCGTCAAACAAAACTCCTAGACTCTTTCATACTAAAAGTTAAAGAGTACTAACTCGAACAGAGCTCCGTTCGAGTCTGCTGGCAGACACGCTTGACCATCACCAGTGCTCGGGTGGCTCTGGCTCAGCCGATCGCTCTGCAAGCAGCAAATTAGAACTCAGAGCGCTAGTAGAACTGTACAGATATGTTCACGCCACGAGGACTGTGAGCATTGTCCCGATGATGCCCATGCTCATCGCACCGATGGAAGCCTTGGCTCGTTGAGGCACCGCTGGTCGATTCCTCTGCTCGAGATGTCGAGACAGTGCCAACTGCCGGAGTCTCTTCATGCGAACCAAACAACTTCGACAGCGTGCGAGGAAAGCTCATCCATCGCCTCCATCTCTGTCATGCGGTAGCGACAGCTACCTCAGCTAGCCTATCAGACCGCGAGGTCGGTCAACACAGCCACTGACTGCTGGTCAACCGAGCTCCATCTTCCTGTTCGTCTACATGGCCCGTGAAATCCCGTGAAGCTGCTCCATGCAAAAAAGGCACCACCTGCCACATGATGGCAGCAGCACTTGCACCAGCAGGCCGTGCCATCATCGGGCCCGCAACCTGCTCCGTCGGGGCCTTAGTTCACTGACTCCGGTGCACAACAATGTGAGGTTTCAGAAGAATTGCTCGTTAGTGATAACATAGAGTTTTGCAAGCGAATGAGTCGATGTCTTTGTCTCAAGATGCAAAACCTAGACTTGTTGGGGCCCAGGTGCCAACAAAGCCACAGTAGCACTGGGACACGAAGGACGGAAGCCCGAATCCTTGCAACATTTCATAATCACGAACTCCAAGATCTCGAAACCCTTCCCGGTCCTTCCAACGGGCAGCTGTCAGCCCCAGAGCTGTCAGCTCCAGGCTGAGCGCCTGAATTGCTGCGAAGCTACAGTAGAAGGCGGTTGAATCCTCTTGCTTCGCTGCAGACTGCCAATTCCCAGTAACCCTCCAGCGACGAGACACCTGGCGACTGTGCAGGGCTGGTGGTCGTTCCTGTTCAGATGCGCTCAGCACATGCAGTGAGAGCTGAGAATCTCAAGGCGATGAGTGACTGAGACCGTCAGTCTCTACACCCATCCAGCAGCAATAACAGCACCCATCTCACAGACTGAGGAAGTCTGGCCTGACGAACCGATAGCCGATAGCGATAGTCACATAGCCCCATAATGAACGTTGTTCCTACAAATAGCTGATGACATGTGATATTGCCCCATCACGACGCACGAGAAGCAGTAGGTACGAATTGCAGCAGTTAAACATACTGAATATGACAGCACACAACTTCGAGCGAGAACTGAGAGTGACTGATAAAAAGCTGGTTGTCATTGGGGAATGGTACGGGCCCATAGTAATGATGATAAGAGTAACAGTTAAAATACTAATAATCCTAGAAATGATGGTAATGAAATGAAAAATTAGGGCGGCTAAACCTAGGACGTTCCAACCATCTAACCCTCGACCCTGGATCCGCCTGCAGCCACTTCTGCTTCATTCCCCGAGTTGCCTCCGGCCCGGCATTCGGATTCAGCAATACTAGCACATGCACTGTGGTCTGTCATGCGTGTCAGTCAGTATATTTATATATATATACATATACACACACGTACATACA